GAACAAAAGTTATTTCATTTGTCAAATCATTGAGGGCCACCTGTATATAAATATTTATTCTGTTAAATTATTAGCTTTGATATATATATTTTTTTTGCCGAAATCACGATAGCTTTTTTCTCCGTGGACCGATTTAGTTAAGTAGCATCGATCCGTAATCGTATGCGATTGGTACTTCGGTGGTCAAAAGTAGAAAAGTTCACCCTTCGAAATCGTGGAAAACACCCAAAAAATGTCAAATGTTTAACTTAAAATTACGACACGCTATAACTTTTTTTCATAATTGTCGTATTGGTTCTAAATTTCTATAGATTATTCTTCAGTTAAAATACAGTCGATTCACGTTAACAAACTAAAAAAATTTCTATGTCCTTTTTCCTAAAAGGGGTGGAAACATTTTCTTTATTTCTATTTTTTGAGCAAAGTGTTAGGACTTAAGGTTTGAAAATTTGTAATGTGGGTCTATAACATATAAAATTTTCTATTAGAGTGTTTACCCTAATACTAAAAATACATTTTCAAGCTCATTATTGTCATTAAGTATAGTTGTTATATCGATATTTGTAGTTCAACCATTACAGATTCGCCGACGCGTTTATTTGAAAGTGATTTTACCGCTAACTAAAGTTAAACTAAAGTTAAATTTGTTTTTTTTTATTAAACTAATATACACAATATATTTTCATCAATAGTTATATTAATATAATATTTATACTAAAACATAAACATGTTTTGATACTACTACATAGTTTAATAATAATTTTAATTTTGGACTTTCACTAGTATGTACCCTATACGGGTATTTATATCAAGAACAAAGTATAAAGTAAATTCATAAAATGACAAACGGATGACTGAATACTGACATCAAAAGAATATTACTTACACTTATTTGCACAACAGTTGTTTAGCCAGTGGATGATATCGCTGAACGTGCAAATATATGTATGTATATTACTTTGTATGAGGGTTGGTATAAAAATGACTTAATTAATATGAGTTAGTTATTTTTATCTGTCTTATCCACCAGCTAATTAGTTTTGTCTCGCAGTCGTCCCGAATAAAAGAAAAATCTAACAAAAGACTTATAGCACATTTTCCACCCATTTATTTATGTTAAAAATTTCACATTTTTACTTATTAGAAAAAAATATTGTTATTTACAATTTACGAGTTATTACAATAACTAATATAGTAGTACTGCTTTATGGGATGTTAAGCTTTAAAAAACAACAATGCATTGGATCAATTTATTAGACGTGTTCGTTGATGTGTAAATAACGTAGAAAATGTAAACTTTTATTAATATACTTTGCCATTTTAATTTATTTATTTTAGATTTCTAAGCAAAATAACTATTTTTTAGTTGGCTAATAATATTTTTTTTTTGTATTATAATTATATTATTTTATGAACCAAATTGTTTTTTCAATTGTAATTTGTTTGTTCGATTTTTTGTATTGAAAATTCAGCGAGTTTAGTAATAAGGGTTAAAATTAAAATTGTAATAGTTTATTGAGAAAGTGTTAAATATTGATGTTTGTAAATTCCGTTATAAGCAAGAGTACAAGAAAAAAATGGCAAATAGGACAAATAGCATTGTTCTGATGAAGTAGTGGGGGTGACAGGTGTGCTGTATGACAAAAGAAGGCCGATTAGGTCCAAAAATCAGGTTTGTAATATCATAGTGGGACGAAAACAATTGGAAATAAGCTATGTAGGTTAGATGACATTTGAAGAAAAAAAAGTAAAAATAAATGGAATAAACAAAAATGTGAATTTACTCGATTTTTATAACAATAAATGAAACAAGCTATTTTTTTTATAATAATCTTTATAATAAATCTTTATAATAAAAAAAAATAGTTAAGAAATGTATATTTCTGGTTTAAAAAAGTTTTCATAGCACTTGCGTAGCACAATTGCCTACATATAACGCCGTCGTACATATGTAATATATGAATACTGAATAAATATAATTAAACACCATTATGTGCATTTTAACTTATTAATGTATCTTTTGAGATTTAGAGAGACCACAAAGACGTCACTTTGTTTTGATAAAACAACTATAAAACTATATTTGTGTTATTTTTTCAATATGGTAAATTTCGTATAATTAAAAACAAAGATTCTACATAAAATCGTGACCTTTAAATATTAGGTTTTATTGTTTTTTTTTTTTTTAATATGTCTTTTATCAGAAGTATATTGACCCAAGTAGTAATGCATATTATTTGATGCACGGACAACCATTTGATTCGGTCTGGCCTAATGGGGCGGATCCTGTACAACACAACAAAATGACAGGCGGCAGTGGTGGTTATGGCGAGAAAGGACAAATTTGAAAAATTCTACGTGACCAGAATCGAATAATATTAGGATGTATAAGTGTCGTTGACGGCTCTTGAATTATTTATTGCTACTAGGTTTTCTAAAAAAATAGAAACTATATGTAATATTTTCGACTTGTTTGAGATAACAATATATATTTAATTAAAATCTAAAAATAATTGCATAGTTATTATTTAAATAATATACAGAAAGTCATCCTAGAATGTTACAGTATTCATTATCCAAAGGAACTATTTGTTGAAATTATCGATTTATTTATAATATCGTAAAAGCAACAACCTTTGTAGGCCTTTATAGAAGAAGAAAAAAATGCCATCTGTTAAATGTGGATTTTACATTGTAAACACTTCATTTAACACTACGGTAGTCTTTTACACGGAGCATCCTAGAAAAATATGTTTTAGATTATAGATTATGGTTTATATGTTTATTATTATTATTATTATACTATAATGGACGCAAGAGAAATGTATACTTTATTGTTTGCATAAAAAAAAATCTTTAATATTTCACATTTCGGTATACAATTACATATTGGTTGTACTTTCATTGTATTGATGGAAATATTATTGCATTAATACCAACTCCAGCACGTATAAATAAATGTGAATATTATAATATATTGTATTATATAATAATATACTATAACGAAGGAAAAGGAAAAAGTCGGATGGCCCAGGCCAGGGTAATACGGTGTTAAAGTTTCGGAACCCATCTTCAGAGTTGTGCTATGCTAAAATTAATTAAATTGTTAATAGGAAATGTCTACTTTAGTTACGTTTATAGTCTAATAAACACGGACGTCCAATTATCTGAAAGTTATTTAATAGTATAAATATAATATTCTATGGGGATTATATAAACGAATTACTTCTCATAATGTTATATTTTTTTGTTTAAGAAATATATTTAATATTTTACCATTTCTTGGATTCTGTTATATACGAGTAGGTACTGTAGTATCATACCCGAATATGTCATATAATTTATTGTGATTTTTGCAATATCGATATTGTTCGTCATAAATGGTCATAAAATTAAAAATATAAAATGTTGACTAGCTAAGTATAAAAGTTTCAGTGTAATCAAAAAGTTTGTGAACAAAATCATTTTGTTGATGAAGCAAACTATTTTTCTACGTGCACATATGACTATAATTACATTATAAAGTATTTAATGGCATTTTGTTTATACATGGTCCCCTAGGATTTGATAATTGTTGAAAATTAATGATGCATTTAACATTACCTCACGTTACATAATTAGTTATTAATCTTTTGGGACTTATTTATTAACTTATAATAAATCAAATAACATTTTTTTTTTCATTTTACGTTTTAAAATTAAATTGAATTTTCTTGTGTGTGGGTTTTGTCCCATAGGCCAAAATTAGGTTTAATTTTATGTTAATTAACGCCAAGTTGTGTAAAAAAGGGTATACTTGATAGTAACAATTTCAATTGTTAAAATAACCCTTTCTATGACAAATATATACAGTGATTTGTTGAACTTTTTGCCGTTCAAACAATATCTCAAATAGTATTATCTTAATGTCACATATATTTTTAAAATCATAAACCGTGTAATATTTTATTAAATTTTAAAGTTGTTTGTTAAAACAGCATAATACAGCTACGAAAAAGTAATGTTTTTTTATTTTCAAAGCACTTTAATTTGATGAAACTAAACTATGAAGTACAAAGTGTAATTTTCGTGTACATTTTGTAATTTTTGCTAGAAGTCGCCCACCAATTTACTATCGTTAGTTCATGGCAATGCTCATTTTTCTTATCCGGCAATAATTCGCTATCTTTCTTTTATTATTGTTACACTTCCTGTCGCGGGGCGAAGTAATTTTTTTTTTCTTTTCCATTTTCTCTTAGCTAGTCCCACGCCGCACATAAATTTAGTTTGTAAACTTGGCCTTCGCTCGTTCGACTATATGCAGACCAGATAAGTTTTATATTTAAAAGCGTACCCGCTGACGTTGTTACCGAGAAGTTTAACTCTCACCCTTTTTCATTTCACACCGTCGCCTTTCGGATTTGGCCACAGTCCCACAAAATAAAAATGCACCGCGTTCCGGTTACTGCTGTAATACAATGTACTTGGATCGTCATCATTACACACCAGCAGTTGATAAAAACTCGCATTCCAAGTGTGTTTACCGTAAACCGTTAAACGTATACCATTATGGCAGTTTCTGCCAGTTAACAGCTACGTGCTTCGATTGACGATTTGTTAGTGTACGTCGAGCAAAGACCATTCGGAAAGGAAACGTTCACACAATCGGCAGAATGTACAGAATGTACAGAATGTACACAAAACTAACGTATAGTGAGTTTTAATCGTCAACGGAACGACGATCGTTTACATTTTCGATTTAAAAATCGAGATATTTCAAGCTATCAAACAAATTTCCATCGCCTAAGGATCGCAAAACAAATCAAACTTGCGCAAACTGTGTGTGGTAGAGTGATTTTTCGATCAATTTGGCATCTACATATTCGGTTTGCAGTATTGGCCGGTGAATCTAAACACATCGGCCGAAGTAAAATACTTTCCTTCATATTATTATATACTTAATTAATGCGAATATACGGCATGATTGATCTAATGACATCAAAATATATTGTCGAACTTACCGTTTAGAATATGAATGGTAACCGCCGCTGACGCTGATTGCGATCCAACCAAGCATGTGTAGTTTCCAGAGTGTTTTTTCTGCACGTGCTTAATCTTCAAGGTCGAAACTATAGTAGTACAGCTGGGATCGCTGTTTGTTCTACAACAACAAAACAATAAATATTACAAAAATATTTCTTATAAATAGAATAATATACTACTATAGTTCTTTTTAGTTTTCTAATTTGTTTTTAACTTAGAGCGCATAGTAAACATGTTAAGTCTTACTGGGACAGCGCAATGAAAAAAATTCAAAAATATTATAAAAATGTCTTAAATATATTCTAATTTGACCATAAACAAGTTAAACCGTTTTAATAACGTTTGTACTATAATTTAAAAGTACAAATATATTTTTTTTGCCTGGCATACAGGTGATGAATAATATGACAATATTGAGCGGTGATTGGCAATGTTTGGTGAACAACATTGGCCAACATGAGATTTTGATTGAAAAAAAATAAAATGTTCTGATTTTATCTGGATACTGAAACAGTTATCGATTTAATTAACACATGATACGTTCCACACGTTTAATTTATTTTATATTTTGTTCAAATCTTTCTAAAATGTCTGTATAAATAATAGTTGTACTATTGGTATTAGACCTAATGTATTAAATAGTAATCCAAAAAGTTTTCATATTAGAAACTATCTGAAAGTATTATGAACTTTTACTCACTATTGGACGAAAAGTTATAAACTTTTGCTTTTTCATTAATTTACTTTTTTCCATGTGGAATTATTATGATGAATGATTGCGAATTGTTTTTGTAGCAATTGTAAGGATATCAATGATAAATCAATTAAGTGAAGAAAACGAGATTGTTAAGACTGTAGATGAATAATATTGAACAAAATAATATATAACATGTGGTTTTGCATTAATTAATTTGTTTTTATTTTGTACAATTATATTTTAAACTAATCATATAGTAGTTACATATGTAGTTTAACTATGACTGTACACTATGAATAACAAATGATGTTTGTTTTATTTTCAATATAATAGTGACTTTTTTTAAAATTTTATCCAACTATAATCCTTAATTTTTATTAATTCTATGGACGATTTTTACTAGATAGAGATTCGTCTGTTAATACTTGCTCAATTCTACCTTTAAATAAGTATATAAATAAACGACGTGGAACATAAAGGATACAACTAAATAGTTTTAGTTTGTTCAATATACTTTTTTAAATTGATTTAAAAAATGAATGTATATGAATAATTGGGCGTAAAGTTAAATAAGTTGAATAGATTTCCTTTTCTATTGACCTAGAGTATACTAAAGAATAGTCATTCATGGGCACGATAACTTAATCGATTTTTGACTGAACGGATCATCATAAAGGCTAGTTCACATAGCCTTGAGTAAATATTATACCGAAAGAAAGGAAAGTAAAAAAACCCGGTATATTTTTCTTTATAATGAAAAACCTTTTTGTTTCATTCCTCGTTACCTAAATCAATTAATATAAAAATGTAAACTAATGTATTGTTTATTTGTACAGCTTTTCTCTCTTATAAGTTTAATGAAAAAAAAACTTACAAATTATTGTGAATTAGTGTTTATCAAAAACGTCTAATTGATATTTGAGATACCCAGAATCGGCTAAATGATGGTGATTTCTTACTTGGAAAAAAAAAGTTTTGTTGTTTCTTAATAAAAATAAAAATAAATATAAACATATAAGTCTTTGACAACTAATATGTAGAAGGTGCTTAGATATATATTACTATACATATCTTAATTTGTACACAAAAACGCACTTGTAACAAATATTACTTGTGAATTTTGTATTAAATTATTAAAGAACACTTTATTATTCGGTCAATTTTAGATTTGGCTTGTAATAATTATAAAGAGATATTACATTTCGGTAATACATATTATTATGTATTTGTCTGACGTCATAAACTAATTACGATTTTGTAAATTATAAGTAACGAATTTGGATAATTATAAATAAATTATTTATAATATTTTATTATAAATTATTTTATTATATATTATTTTAGTTTAATATTAACCAAATAAATTTAATTAAACGAGTATATTTCTATAGAGTAGTTAGTTGAACTATAATTTATACTACATGTTTTAGATTGATCATTGATGTATTATCAAGTTCCCTAAGTTATAATTAAATAGACATAAAACACATTATTATAATATATTGTTTGTTAAGTGTCATTAATTTTAATATCTATATATGTCTATTTAACTATTACAAAAGCAACCAGAAAATGGTAGAAACTTGTAGTTACAACGTGAATACAAATACAAATGTTAATCATATAAACAATGTATTCTAGAATATTATACTATTCTTAAATATTACATTGTAAATTATAAAAAAATATAATTATTCAAAGTCCTTCATGTATTATACATAAAAATTCTTAAGTCGTAATGGGAAATATTGCATAACTAAAAAATTTTAAACACAGTTGTTCAGTTTTAATTATACTCCAAAAATAAAATCGAAAATTATAAAAATGTATGTATAGTCTGAACGAAATAGACTAAAATCTATAGCAAAAGACCCAGACGAAGGTTTAATTGTAGTGAAATGTCATGCAAAATCTTCCACCAAGTAAACCAATGTCAATAAACACATTTCCATAAAATTGGCAATCTAACGTGCTGAGGTAAATGGACCACTTTGTATTGCAGGGCTACAATTAATCAAGTAAGTATGAATCTAAGTAAGTATGTACTAACCTTTCGGCGATTCCGTTGGAAATCGTTTGTCGTCCTCTGTACCACGACACCTTTGATCCGTTATGGCTACCGGCATGGACTACCTTGCAGACGATTTCTAATGTGCTTCCGCTTTTGAAGAACACTTCGCTGCCACCTCTGGTCACGTCACCCGTACCGGTTACCGACATCCGTATCATGGGAACTGTACAAGAACAAACGCACTATTAGATTAAATGAAAATATAATAAAATGTCTAGAAACAAAACAAGATATTATGAGGTGCCAAAAACGAGTGGATCAGGTTAATAGTATTATTGTTGTTATAATATAATCGTCGGCGGCCGCCGTTTCACTTCATTAACCTTTGGCGCCGAAAAGGATGAAAAGCTCAAGCCAACCGGAAACTTGCGTCGCTCGAAACATATTCCGGAAAATATATTCCGAAATTTAAGAGAATCGGTAGGGCGGACACGATTAGGGGAGTTGGCTCGGCCGGTCCCTCTTTATTAGTTGCCGGTGGAAGTGGCGGTGTTGACCGTCGCCGTTTCCAAACGACTGGTTTGGGAATATCCTCTAGGAAGAGGCCAGCCGCACAAACGAGGCCCAGGGGAAACGAAAGGACCGAAATTATGTGTACACACTGTTTCAATTGGACGTGGCGCAGAGACCTTTTTATCATAGTCACCAAGTACGTTGAAACCGCGATCTCCGCAACCTATTTTTGTGTAAGGTAAAAGAAAACATATGTCCTGAAATCAATTCTCTTTGTTACGCAAACCGGGGCCGTGATATTCTCTAAATGACTGGAACACTATTTATCGTATATTGAGTACGAAACAATAAGTTTATTGAAGTTTAATCTTCAAGACCTATTCAAAAACATATTCAAATGTTATACCACGTTGTACAACCATTATTATTCAATAATGACGTTTTATTGTTGTGCACAGATAGTTTTGACTAGATTTTTGCACATTTTACAGTTTACATATTATTAGGATACACTACCTTAGCGTATTAAGCCTTAAGGTAGGTTAACATGTTTTTTTAATACTCTTAAAGCGTACAAGGCAACACAAATTTAGTAAAATATATGAAAATCAATAAAAATAATTAGGTACAGATTTGTAGGTCACGTAAAACCTTTAAAATAGTACGGTATATCAAGTTTTTACTGAGTTTAATAAAAACTGTACAATTATTTGTAAACATTTCAAGGAAAAATACATAGGCTAAATACCAAATGAATAATACTAATTAGTGCCTAGGGGTGAGGAGGAAGGTGATTGTTATTAAATACCCGAGAGCTAAGCATTTAAGAGAGATTAAATTATATAGTTGGTATTTATATAGAAATTAAGTGGCCGTCTAGATGGTTGTCAGGGTGGCAAACTATAACCGTAAAACGTGGCCAAGTTAAGCCGAACGGTGTGGGGTTTAGCCTTTAGAGAAAACCACCTGAGATTTTAATCTAAGTGTTAGTCACAAACTCTCCAAAACAGTAGTTTTGTAATTTAAAATTAATCAATAAAAACACGTGCTAAGAAATTACACTATGGAGCATAATATTCGAAATTTTGTTTCTATCTTTTTAAATGTAATATGAATTGAATGGTGGTTAGCAGTTTTAAGTTGAAAGTTCAAAACATCTGATACAAACGATACTTTTTAACATAATTTTTAGCATTGAAATATGATAAATTTTAATTTACATATAATATACACATTTATTTTTAACTTAATAAAATCCCAAAAACGATTGTTAATATAAACGACTAGAGTTTTTGTTTATTATAAGTTTTTGAAAAAAATATGCACCTATATCTTTGCTTAGCAAATTTTTATACCGAAATCATATCATATAATCAATTTTCTAGGAATCGTAGTGAATAAGATTTTTTGTTTGAACGGATATTAAAATTCAATAGATTTTGATACAGTACGGTTTTTTGAAACCATAATGATAAAACAATGTGTCATTTCGAAATAATATAAGATACAAAGGTTGTTAATATATTATACAGTATGCGTTTTCGTTGTGTAAATAAATTTGCGTTGGGTGTTAACAAGATGGGGAAAAAATGAAGTATCGGTTGTCCGTATCAAAGGACTAATTTGTTCTGGTTGCAACCACCACTTTAACTGTGTGCTCATTAGCTTTGTAAATGAACCCGATCGTTGATATTGGTAGTGGTGCAATGTCAAGGGCGCAAGTACAGGAAATGTAACCTGCAGGGCCATTATACAATATTATAAACATACAGACAATACCCCCTAGCATCCACTAGCATTATTACTGTCTGTGACAGACGTGACCTCTCTGGCTTTGTAGTAGACATATTTCATATTGAGAAGTACTTCAATCATATGCAATATCAAAGAAGAGCCTCGGGGACAATTTTATTTTCCACTACACTATGCAGAAAAACCAATTGGTATTAAATATAAAACCCGCGTTACACAATTTATTTCATTAAAATACGTTTTTTTTTTTACATAAAAGGCAGTTTTATTAAATTTGTATATTAAATAATTTTTAATTAACATAAAAAACTACGCGGTAGCTAAGCAATATTGTCGTACAACATTGATATTATCTAATTTAAATCAATAAAATGTATATTATATTGACATAAAATATAATATGTTAATATTTTTGTTGTATTGTAAATATTTTTTATAATTTGAAGACAAAAATGGCGGATTATTTATTCATGTTTAAACAGATTATTGTTAATCCAAAATCTTAATGGGGTATATGTGCTAAATAAATTATATTAAAATAGTAATAATTATTCAAATCGTTTTGAAATATATTCGTATTTTTAAATACATGATGTTTAACTCAATTGTAACAAATTTAGCATGTTCTACTTTGTGTGCGATGTAGCTTTGAAAAAAACGATAAATGTGTCGAACTTTATTAGAAAACTGTAAACGACGTATGTGTTTTTCTTTCTAGCATTTATAGCTATAGAGCTATTTCATTATATTTTTCATTTATAATCCTGTTACCTTATAATATAATGTTTTTTAGACAGCAAAAAAAAAAAACAGTTGTCGAACATACAAAGGTTGTATAAAATTCTGGCCATTGTTAATTTTTAAACAAAGCAGTTTTTGAAATTTTTTTTAATAATTTATTCTTTTATCAAATATGTTTTAGTTGATTAACTTTATGTTTATTAAAATCTTTTTTGTTTACAAAACTTTCATTGTGAATACAGTTTTTATGAGGATTTATCTATAAATATACACATTTATCAAAACAACGCATCGTGGACATGTATAATAACTAGAAGTTTGATAAAATCATCAATTTAATTAAAATATACATTTACTTTAAAATATATATTTTGTTTTATTTGTTATAATTATTAGATAATGTTTTTGAGAGGAAATCAGTATTAAAACAAATAAGTAAGTGAAATAGAAAACAGAAAAATTACCATCGACTTTTAAGTAGATTTTCATAATTGTTGGTGGGTGGGTGGCCACTTGGCATTCATAAATACCATCGTCCCTGTCTGTGATATAAACAATTTGTAGTCTCCAATTGTTGGGATATCTAAAACTTAACGATATCCTCTGGTCAGAGCTGTGTACTTGTCGTCCTACGGTAAGAAGCTGTATATCATCTGCTTTTCGATGAACCCATGTCACCTGAAATATGTTAACAGATGAAATAAATGAATGAAAATATTTACAAAGAAGAAAAATATATCTTATATTTACATATTTATCATATACAATAATGCAGATAGAAGTACCTGTGTATTTATTATATATAATTAATTATTATTTGTACATGGAACTATAAAACACTCATGGGCCATAATTTATCAGAATTAATTGTAATCATTTTTTTTTTATCTCACTATATTTCCTACAAATCGTTTTGAACGTTTTGTCATGTTCTAATAATATAGTAAGTACCATTGCATACGATTTAAGTAAAGTTTTTATTTCCTCAATTATTTATTACCGCGTTCTTACAATTATTTTATTCACTGTTTATAGTGAACTCTATATTTGACTGAACTGTTGTTTTGACAATTTAGCAGTATTTCATTAGTAATAGTCATGTTAAAAATGATTAAACTGTGGATTTTGAAACCATACTCGAAACTGTGTAACTTTCTTAAGGTGTATGACAGACCCAATAATACAATAGCGCATAACAGTATAAGCTGAATGTATAAAACTGTATTGATTATCTAGTAGTCTATCTTGTCGATCTCAAAAGTTAACAATAGTGTCTTTCATTTTTGTCATGTAAAAGATGTTTTTGCAAATTACGATACTTGCAACGTTCATGTATTTTGGTTTGTTTTTAACAATAAAATGTTTTGTATATTAATCGTGCGTGAATAGATGTCAAAACTTTCACTTCACTGAGACTGTTAAAACTTATTCGGACGGTATTAAGCAGTATCTCTTTAAAGTTTCGTTTAGGCGTGTATCAGTTTAATAGTAGCTATTGGTGTTTCGACAATTCAATCTCGAAGACTTCTTGGAAGCTATAATGAACTTTTGTAAGGTTATGATTCCAATTTGAAGAAGGCAACGAACCCAAACGCAAAATCAAGTTTTTCCAATCACACGTAACTCAAAATAGTATGTTATATTTATTCTGCTAATTTTGGAATATATTAGTTGGTACACGAATAATATTTTTGTCCTGTGATCCTTTTAACAAGAACATGTGTGCATTAATAGAAGTACAAAATGTATACTTAAACTCATCAGAATCTACAAATTTATTTAAAACTAATTGGCAATTAATTTTTTTATATAGATGAAATTATTGTTAAAAAAACCGCAGTTATCTAGTTTATTTTTTCTTTAAATCTGTACAAATTAGAACTTATAAGTATAAGTTTAAAAGTTTATTTATTTTTTGTTATTTAAGATTTTAATCTTAACAACTTCCCAGGAAAATAATCTGATTATCGAGTTAGTATATATTTCCTTTCTTAGAGCGGTTCATCCAATTTAGAAGTTTAAATTGTGTATCATTTGTCACGTAGAGTTAAAAATAAAAATTTGTACTAATGTACAGTACGATTTTAATTTCAACTCCAAAAAGTTTTTCTGTAACAAATCTTGCTTTTGTTTAGAAATAGAATTATCATTTGTTTGTTTTTATTTGCTAAGAGAATAAAAGTATTACATGCTCTAGTGAAAACTTTTTTCAATGCATACAGACAACAGAGATTTGGCATGTAGTAAGTTTTAATTTATTTATTAAAAAATCGGCTAAAGTAAATTTGGCAGTGTAAGCAAAATATTCGTTTAAAACAGTTTTGTTCAGTGTTTATTTCGTATTATTAGTATCTATCGGAATACACAAATATTATGTTTTAGTTTATTTTGTTGTGACAAATTTCTAGTAGTACCACAGAATAAATGCAATCAGAAAGGACAGTTTCAATGCAAACAGAAACATGGCGGTAATGTTCTAAGTTCTGACTCTGCTTATAATAAATTATATCTATACACAACTAAAAAAAATAATGTTTAGATATAATTTATTATGGTTAAAGCAGGTTTAGAACATGACCGCTTCGTTTTTGTGTGATAAGTATCTTCCCCGTGTTAATTTTTATCAGTGTCTGGGGTCTGGTAATACCTTCTATCATTTTAGATAGATGCCATAGCAAAAAAAAACCTTACAGTAAAAAAAAAAATTAGTTTTTAAAATGATTGTAAAACACATTTTTTAAACTAAACATTTTCAAATATATTCACGATATTATGTCATATCAAATTTAGTAAAGTACATAATAGGTTACAATAGGTTACATATAATACAATATTACTGCAATGCGGGCGTTGAATTTATTTAGTGTATGTATAGCGATAATAAATGGCATAAAATATTATGTTTAGTTTTTTGTTTTGGACTTGCTTAATAAATCATAGAAGTAGTTATGAATCAGTGCAGTTTTTGTGTATGTTTGATTGATATATTTGTGTACAGACTTAACGAATAATAATATTTTTTATGATAATAAAGTCTACATCATATTATTGGCTTCCGTGCTAAGTTGAGAAAATGTTTATGTTGTATTAACTTAAATCTACCGCGTGCGAATTTAGAACTACATAATGGATACGTGTGCATTTTGTGTACAAGTGATGGTCAAATGTTGTTTTCTGCTAGGTAAATATCGTTGTGACACAGTGTTAAATATTTTCGGAAAGGATTAAATATGGTATTTTTATTTTTATTGTTGCACATCACCAATCCTATGTTACACTAGCTGCTGTCATAATGACCAGTAAGCGCTACCGTCGATACAGGCTTGACGGTGGCGTGTTGATGAATATGCTTCCTGTGGCGAGGAGGTTGGGACCGATAGGCAGCAATTGATGGCTTTTTTGGAAAATAATCCACTGTGGCATTCCTGTCACTTTGCCCGTATACTCTGCCTCTATTCACCAACACACGGGCACAATCAGTCCAACCTACAGCACCACGAGTGATGTATGCGCAAACCAACAATATATTATTATGCGTCTCTGTATCCCTCATCTCCCTAGCTCTCCTCTCTCTCTCTCTCTGTAATTTTCCAGATTTTCCTCATTTTCACCATTTTTTTTACAACAAGCTTTCTACATACGATAAAAACAACCTTCTCTGGTAAGCGTATCAACTCGAAACGAATAAACGGTAACTAGAATAATAAAATTGTTTAAAAACAACCGCAAAAACTATCCTCTTTGCGTATACACGGAACAGGACGAAACCTAACAAGATTTTATTCAACCGCAATAATTAATTGTGTATAAAAACAAAAAGTTTATGTATTGAGGTCAGGGCGGCAACGGGTTTAGTTTTTTTATTTAAAATTATATCTTTATAAAATATAATTTTTAGATTAAAAATAAACCGAGCTAAATTTTTGTTACAATATTCTTAATGGATTTGTCCATAATACGGTTCTAGTTGCCAATTAAAAATAAACATTAAAAACTATTTTAAAATTTCACATAAAATATTTCGTAGCAAAATCGCTAATTATAAAACAACTTTAATATTTTGTTTTTTAGTGAGTAATTTATTTCTGTTAAGATCAAGAATTTGTTTTTGGATTTTAAATTGTCTTTCGCTTTGGGGTGGTACGAAGGCATTCATTTTACAACGATATGTGCTTTTTGATCTTAGATTCTGAAATATAAACTTACTCATTTATTACATATATAAAAATAGTCTATTAAGTATAACAAAATTTATAATTTATTCATCTATTACAATTTGAAGTGCATGAGGTGAAATTAAATAATATTAAAATTAATAATATGTCTTCAACTATATCTATACCTTAAACGGTTAAGCATAAGTTTTTAAGTATTTTCCAATTATACTTAGAACGTATGTTTAGTGTTTACTCTAAATAATTAGTTCACTGTACTCAAATAATGGAAACATATTTTTTGTGGAGGCGCAGCTGTTCGGCTTAGTCAGATCGCTAACAAATATGCACTGTAGACCCTTTTGTGATTTGTCAAGCTAGTTGGTGTCTAGTAAGGTCAGTTGAAATTGAATAACGTCCATTAATTAGTGACTTGGCAGGGGTTTTAGCGAATAGTCCTGCTACAAGAAGTTGAGACTCCTGACTCATCATTTATTATGCAAAAGTGTGTCTTATAGTATTATTTAATAATACTGTTGAGCTAAATAAATAATAAATATTCGAAAAATTATTTCTGGTAGTTTATTCAATTAAATTATGTGTTTATGACGGTGCAAGTCAAAAGGTGAGTGTAATTTTTGGAACTAGGGTTTTGGAACTGATGGGATGTCGTGTTTTATTCTTGGAATTGTTTGCATCATCTCTCGGACATGATAAATGTATTGGTATTGTGTAACAAATGTACATTAAATAATATATGTAATGCGTAAATCCATTACAATTATTCAAATAACCATAAGCTATCATTAGAGGGAAAAAAGTAATTCCGGTTTTACGATTTTCAATTTTAAAATATTACTTAATTAAAACATATTTGGTGAAAGTGCAATTCAAATGTAAAGACCAACACTTAAAGAAATCCATGTGAACATTTTGATGAACTATATAACTAGTAGATAATGTATTGTTAGGTTTGTTAAAACACTAAATTTTTATTTTCATAGTTATAGCTAAACTAATTGTATCAATATAACAGTTAACATGAATAGTATGTACCATGTATTGATTTTATTTATATTCTATCTCTAATCCGTATTTATAATTACTACATTAATATTTAATAAATATTATATGCACCATGTATTGACCACTAAGCTGTGTCGTTGGACAACTTTAGTGAGCAGATCGCTATATTTTTATTAATTTAGTGTTGTTTTATTAATCAAGCGTGTATAAAAAATTATATTGATAGATTTTCCATAATATGAGAAACATAAATATTTCAGAACTCGAAAATTGTACAATTTATTTCTAATTACACATTTCCTTCATTATGTATAACTAAAAAGTTTTCTTTATGAAAGTTGTCGAGCTTGAGCATACAATAATATCATTATGATATTAATATATTAAGTATGTCACATTTCGATCGACAACGTTGAGATCGTTTGATGGCAGCGCAATAGCAAAATTTTATGATTTAACAGGCGGTCTGCGAAAGCCACATCACGAAGTTGTCCAATA